GGCCAGCAGAAATGAGCCGGACGCGGAATGGGATTGTCATTTGCTGTGGGAACCATTTGAAGCTGGTCCTTGAAGATCAAAAGTCAGTCTCTGCTGCCCACGAAGGAGTTTAACTAGTACTAACTTTCTAAGTTGTCACCTGATTTCACAGAGCAAAACCATATTCTTTGAAAAGATCTGGACCTGGAAAATTGGGGTTGGGGGGGGGGACAGTAAAGACACGTAGAAGTGAACTAGTTTGCTCGCCAGTGTGACAAAAGGAATAGCATGCAACAATAGCAAATGGAATATTTTGTTGTTGATTTTGTTTGGGGCTTTTTGTTTGTTGGTTTCTTTATTTGTCCTTTTTGCAGCTAACCCCAACCTCTAGTGACGATTTAGTGAGGAAAAATATTTCATGAGTATTACTAGGGTAACGGAATTATAGAACATCAAGCTCAAAGTAAAATGCATTAGTTCAGAAGCCAGTTTCTTAGCTAAAACTCTGGTAAAAACCATTTTATTAAAAAAATTTAAAATATTAGGGACTAAAAAATATGGAGGAATTTTGCATTAACTACTTCAGATTACCCTATAGTTGTATTAAAAATTAACAATATCAAATTGTGATGAGTTTTTAATTTTGTTGTAGGAAGAATTTTAGATCATGAAGGCTATTACAATTATTTTTCTGCCATAAAGATCAAGTTTTAGCTACTTAAAGAATTTCATATACAGTTTTACTCACCGGTGATACTGCAGATAATAATTCAGTAAACTGAAAATGCACAGCTAAAATTCAGATTTCAAAACTATTAAAGAGTTTTAATGTAAAATAATACAAAAAAGAAGGATGAAGTGGAATTTTGATGAAAATATTGTCACACAATATCTGATTTTGGTATATTTATTTTAAAATAATATTATGCCCCCAAAATTATTTTGAGTAATTATTTCAGGAGTTTTACTTACCTTTTCCTTTAGTCTAGTCCACACACTAAACATTGTCTCCTTCCTCACTCTAGACTCCCTGAATTTCAAATGTTGTACTTTCCCCATCATTTTTCTCTGGAGAAAAGTCTAAAGACATCTAAAGACAGGTGTATATAGTTTCATACTGTATTAATCTTGATTCCTTCTAGATACCTTCTTCCACTGCCAAATGTAAATACTGGCTACTTTGCAAAAAATCAGTTTCTCTATCTGGGCTGAATGACTTTACCTCTGGAATTCTGAAGAATTTCTTATGATTAGTTCTGTAGGACTAAAGCTAGAACTGTTACCGTTCACTCAGCAGTTTGTGGTTCCCAAAGGTTAATCTTATATAAAATTACCAAAAAATTGAAATACAGAGATTGTTTTGAGCACTTCAATTTTCATATATGCTTTATATACCAAGCAAAATATGAAGTATAAGCAGACTACCAGAAAATATTTGTGATGTGATACTTTGACACGTTGAGCATCTTAAATTGAGAATACTCACACTTAAAAGTCATGCCTTTGATTTTAAGTTCAGACATACTGATGGCAACGGAGATGAGTGTTAGTGTGATTATTTTTTTATAATAAGGACAAATAACATCTATTTATATTCTTATCATTGCACTAATTTTAGATTTTTTTAGACAAATTACACCTGGGGAGAAAATGATAATAAGTGGAGAAAACTTAATGCATATGACCCTATTGTTGATGCTGGATATAACAAAATACTCATAGTGGAAGGCAGCTCAATAAGTATTCTATAAATAAAGAAACTTTAGTGTTTGAGTTAGGACTACTATCGTGATACTTTAGATTTTTCTTAACACTCTCTGCTCTTCACTAGTTTAGGCATGGATCAGAGCAGTGAAGGATGTATGAAAAAGATTGGCAGTGTGAATCTTGACAAACTTATAAATGACTTCTCACAAATAGAAAAGGTATGTAAATATAGCCAATGGCTATGGTGTATGAGGGAAAATGGAAGAGATTTTATTAATGGGAGAAATTTGAAAGAAAAAAATGTTGCAAAAAATGAGCAAGATACAGATAATGAAAATATATTTTGCCAAGCCCTTTCTCTCTAATTTTTAAGATTTGTATTTAAAATATATCTAATCTTGACTCATTTATACTAATATATCAAAAACTTTCCAGGGCAAGGGAACAAATAATTTGTGTACTTTTGCCAAAGTTAAAGGTAAATAAAATACACATCTAAGTGTCCAAAATAATGTCCAAACTCGGAAATAGATTTAATGAGAATTAAATTTCAGTCTCCTACCATTATAAGTACTTTCTTTTAGTTCTTTACCATTTGTCTCTGTTCTCTCTTGCTTCTCTTTTACCTAAAACCAAACCTACTTGAAGTCCTTCTCTCCAACTTTGGACAAATGGTAAGCCAAACAATGTATTGTTTCCCCCTCTTCTCTGACAAAGGGAGATATATGAAAACTGTTGAAAAAAAAATGTAGGTGAATAAACTAAGGATTTGAGGAGTGAATTTGTAAAGCAAGAATGGGAGGGAAGACCTTCCCCTATTTTCTTTCCTTTTCTTATTTTTTATGTCTATTTTTATTCACACAGATTGCCATATTTAAAGAATTTTCATGGCCTTAGATTTTTGAGGCAATATGATCTTTTTTCAAACAATGAGCTTAAGTTTTCTTAACTGTATAATTAGCAAAAGAGAAAAGAGAAATAGAAAGCACTGTTGGAGAGAGGAGATTTAGTGAAAGATTTTTTTTGGGGGGGGGAGGTTAGAGATTAATTTAGAAGTATCTCATATTCTTAAATATTTTTGATAAGAAATAGTTGTTCATTTTTGATGTGATAGTGGTATTATGAACATATTTTGAAAGTCATGTCTCTTAGAGATATATATAGATGGTAATACAAATGAATTCATGTCAATTGCTTTGAGATAAAATCAGAAGTGGTAATATTAAGGAAGTGGATAGAGTATAGATAACATATGACTAGTCATAAATTGATATTTGAAGCTATTTAAAGAGTTTGTGGAAGCTTTTTATACTGTTCACAAAAATACGAAGCAGTAGGTTTAAGAATATTTATCTCCTATAATAGCAAAAAAAGTAGAAATAACAAATTTTCTCATAGGAGACTAGATAAATAAATTATAATATATTCAAAAATACCTATGAACATATATGAGTTTACTACAGTGAATCTCATCATCATGTACATTCACAAGAAATTAATTAAAAAAAAACTGTGGCTAAATGGCAGAAAGATCAGTAGAGGAAAGAGAGCAGTGGTGTGGAGGAGGGGGAAAGGAGGTATTGAGGACTTCATCAAAACAAGATATAGTCCTTGCTTTTATAATTATGTCAAAATGCTTTCTATTGTTATATATAATTAAAAACTACAAAAAATTAAAAAATGAAATTCAGTGCAGCTAGTAAAAAGAATGAGGTAGATCTATACATGGTAATATGGCACCATGTCCCAGATAATAGTGCTAAGTAGAATAGTCAAGGTGCAGAACAGAATACAGATGATCATTTTCTGTAGTTGTATATAGTCAAAAAGAATACTTTGGAAGCATATAAAAGGAACAGTTTTTGTTTGTTTGTTGATTCTGGATTTTTTTTTTTTTTTGAGACAAGATTTCACTGTGTTGCCCAGGTTGGCCACAAACTCCTATGCTCAAGAGATCTTCCTGCCTTAGCCTCCTACATAGTTGGGACTACAGGCTTGTATATGCCTGGCTAGCAATCATTAACTATGGAAATGAGGGTTGAAGAGTTGCCGAAAGGAGTTCAAGTTAGGCCATACTTTTATTTTTCATTTATAATTGTTAGTGTGGTTTAATATATTATCAGATTACTTTTTAAATTAAATATAAACTAGGAAGTTTATTTCTTTAAAATTATGTTTTATCTTTAACTATTAGACTTTTAGGTAGTGATTTATATTCTCATTAGTCTTCATATCTTTAGTAAAAGAATAGAAACAGCTGCATTGACTTGATAATAATGTTTACTCTATTTCTTCTACAGAAAATGATAGAAACCAGTGGAAAGAACAAAATCCTGGATATTCAGTTGGAAAAGACTAACTCTTTATTAAAAGTGATGCAAACAAAAGAAGTCTCAATGAAAGAAGGTAGGTTTTTGTTCCCTAAAGAAATATTAATGAGAGTGCAACAGTGTTTTAATATTATACATATATTTGTAAAGTATTTTAAATTCATATTGAACTTTTCAGACTTTCATCAAATTTTATTTTTTGTATAGCTCTGAAAGAAGGATAGGACTAGTATTATTATCCTACTTTACCAGTATAGAAACATAAAATGAA